TAAAAGGAAAAATAATCCCAGTAGAATTCCCTGTCCACCCTTCTATAAAAATTACGATAAGAAAGACTTTCTGACCGAAACGTAGCCATGGACTTTTGATAAATTGCTCGATTGATCGTAAGCTTCTTTTTTATTTTCATTTCGGAAAGAAAGAAAAAGGACAAGTCTCATACCCCGTGATACTTTTCCTTGGCAGCTTCTTTCATCTCGCCCGCTTTCACTTTTGCATCCTTGGCGGTTCCCGTGATACCTTCTTTGACACCCTGGTATGCTTCCTTAGCTGCATCCAATATGCCTCGACCAGCATCTTTAGCCTCATGCTTGGCATGCCCTGCCTTGTCTTTTGCCTCATCATAGTGTTGCTGTTTTGCCTGCGCATGCATATCGGCTTCCTTCGACTGCAATTCCAAATTGATGGTGGACAAACTTCAGATGGTATTGATATATACTTTGCTCTTATTCACTGCTTTTGATCTTAAACTCGCACAAACAAGGCTTCTTCATTCAAATTAAAAAAATCAGTATCAAGCTTTTAAACACCTACGGTTGATGGACTGAAATAGTTTACTTGGAAAATTTTAACTTGAATTTGGTGCTAATATTTCTCCTGCAAACTGCGGTGTGGGAAGACGTAAGGAGCACAGTAGCGACACGCTCATGGGTGTTTTCTGCTAGGCTGAGGAACAGCCAACAAATCCCTAGGCAGAAAATACTAAACGCAAAACGAATGTGCTTGGCTGTGCAAAAGATTCAGAAAGCAGCCAGAATTTGAAAAATGCCGACGAAAATTTATCTTTTTTTTATCGACTTTTCACCACAGTTATCATATTTGCGGAATGGCGGCAAACATGATGAAATGCCCCTATAAAAAAAACACGCCATAAGATGCTAGCTGGAACTGTGCAGTTCAAGATCGAAAGGAATGGTATAGTTTCGCCTAGCTACAACATTCCCACTATTTTTGCACACACGAAAATGTGAAATAGCTTTGATAATCTTAACAATAATCACTCAACCAGTGGGCATCGTCATAGCTATTTTCGCAAAAAGAGCACTGCTGTGCGAATTCATTCTTCCGGATGCAGAGTATGTATATCTCTGGATGCTAGACATCGTATGGTACCAAGACCGCACGTGCATGCAAGATGATGGGAGATTCTGGCTATGATTACATTTGTTTGTGCTAAATACTCAGCCAACCTTGTGTTCACCACAAATGCAGTATTTTGCCTCTAGAAAAAAAAAGGAAAAAAAAAAAACTTACCAAATTGCATCTGCAGCTTTTGCACTCCAGTCCACAACCTGGACATGTGTCGCAGCTTTTCGGTTTGGAAGTCATTTCAGAAAAGTTCAATTAGCTGGAGACGAGAGAGCAGGAACCTGCAAACTCAGATGACTGAGGGAGACACAACACTGATAACGAATCGCACTGCTCTAGCCAATCTCTTTTATACGGCGCTAGGTAGAAATTGTTGTTTGTTGACAAAAAAGTTGCGAAAGAGCATCCAAAACAAAAATACTCTCTGGGGGAGAGCAGCAGAAAGGTTCACTGATCACCTCGATCAGCAGCAAGAAGAGGGAGAGAGGAACGAGAGGAGCGGAACTGAGGGTAGCGAGGACAGCCACGTGTTATAGATTTTGTAGGTTTAAAAATGTGTCGGCATATGATTTGCACAAATAAAATGTTTGGGAATCAATTTCTTTTAGATGTTTGGAATATGTAGTGTGCTGCATGGGGTGGCGGAAGCACATGAGCAATAGGGCTTGAATGTGAGCGAAGATTGAAGCAAAGAGGCTCTGGATAAGCAACAAAAGGGGGGGGGGGGG